CACTGCAGGTGGACACGGGCTGTGCCGTCTCAGTGGGCACGTGGGTGGGGGCGTGGCCATCTGCACTGCAGGTGGACACGGGCTGTGCCGTCTCAGTGGGCACGTGGGCGGGGGCGTGGCCATCTGCACTGCAGGTGGACACGGGCTGTGCCGTCTCAGTGGGCACGTGGGCGGGGGCGTGGCCATCTGCACTGCAGGTGGACACGGGCTGTGCCGTCTCAGTGGGCACGTGGGCGGGGGCGGGCACGATCTGCACTGCAGGTGGACACGGGCTGCGCCGTCTCACTGGGCACGTGGGCAGGGCGGGCACGTGCCTGGTGGCCCCGCCCTCCTGTCAGCTGCCCCGTCCTGCCAACCCTCTCATTCTGAGCAGGTGGCCAGCGCGGGTGACAGGGAGGCTTCCTCGGGCTCTCGGATGACACCGGGCAAGGCTTTCTGCGCCGATGTCCAAAGCCCGCCCGGTGTGTACTCCATTTGGTGGGCCCGCGCCTCCGAGCCTGAGGAGTCACATACTGGGCCCACCTGCTCTGGAAGGAGCTGCCCACACGCTGCCGGGCCTGCCAGCCCAGGCCACACAGGCCTTCCTTGAGGACGGCAGGTACAGCAAACCCCCGGAACAGATGGCTTGAGGCCCTGTCACCAGAAAAGGACCGGTATCTTTACTGAGCTGGCGTCTGCTCCCCAAAGCCAATGGCGTGGCTCCAGAGTGCAGGGAGAGCTGGGCTGGCCTGCTGTGCTGTGCTCTGCTCTCCACAGAGCTGTGGGCCTCCCCTCTGGGCCAGGTCACAGCCATCATGTGACCCTCCTAGAGCTGTGGGCCCTCCCCTCTGGGCCAGGTCACAGCCATCATGTGACCCTCCTAGAGCTGTGGGCCCTCCCCTCTGGGCCAGGTCACAGCCATCATGTGACCCTCCTAGAGCTGTGGGCCCTCCCCTCAGGGCCAGGTCACAGCCATCATGTGACCCTCCTAGAGCTGTGGGCCCTCCCCTCTGGGCCAGGTCACAGCCATCATGTGACCCCCTAGAGCTGTGGGCCCTCCCCTCTGGGCCAGGTCACAGCCATCATGTGACCCCCTAGAGCTGTGGGCCTCCCCTCTGGGCCAGGTCACAGCCATCATGTGACCCCCTAGAGCTGTGGGCCTCCCCTCTGGGCCAGGTCACAGCCATCATGTGACCCTCCTAGAGCTGTGGGCCTCCCCTCTGGGCTAGGTCACAGCCATCATGTGACCCCCTAGAGCTGTGGGCCCTCCCCTCTGGGCCAGGTCACAGCCATCATGTGACCCTCCTAGAGCTGTGGGCCTCCCCTCTGGGCTAGGTCACAGCCATCATGTGACCCCCTAGAGCTGTGGGCCCTCCCCTCTGGGCCAGGTCACAGCCATCATGTGACCCTCCTAGAGCTGTGGGCCCTCCCCTCTGGGCCAGGTCACAGCCATCATGTGACCCCCTAGAGCTGTGGCCCTCCCCTCTGGGCCAGGTCACAGCCGTCATGTGACCCCCTAGAGCTGTGGGCCCTCCCCTCTGGGCCAGGTCACAGCCATCATGTGACCCTCCTAGAGCTGTGGGCCCTCCCCTCTGGGCCAGGTCACAGCCGTCATGTGACCCCCTAGAGCTGTGGCCCTCCCCTCTGGGCCAGGTCACAGCCGTCATGTGACCCCCTAGAGCTGTGGGCCTCCCCTCTGGGCCAGGTCACAGCCATCATGTGACCCTCCTAGAGCTGTGGGCCCTCCCCTCTGGGCCAGGACACAGCCATCATGTGACCCTCCTAGAGCTGTGGGCCTCCCCTCTGGGCCAGGTCACAGCCGTCATGTGACTCGTGCTCCTGGGCCCTCAGCTGCACCTGCCTGCCACCTCCCTTTGCTGGGCCTCCCCGACCCTGCAGGAATGTGCTGAGCACAGATGCGCCAGCCAGACCAGCAGGCGGCCCTGGGACAGGGTGGATGCCAGGTCACAGGCATGGCTCCGTTCCCTGTGGGTCCCACGGAAACACCAACTATGCCTGCAAGGGTCCTGCTGTATTTTCTGCCACAGAGAAATGCAGGTCATGGGTGTCGGGGGAGCCACGGCTGCTGACCAGGCTCCCCTGCCCTGAGGACGCCGGCCGGGTGCCCTCCTGTCGCTCCGCCTGGGACACGCTGCCAGCGCCAGCAGAGCAGGAAGCTAACAAGCAGACCGCTCTGGGCCTGCTCCCTGAAAGAAATGTCTGCCCGGCCACTGCCCCCTGAAAGAAATGCCCAGGAGGAAAACACCTGCACCAGCTCCCTGCTAAGAGGGCAGAGAAGCCAGACGGCCTGGCAGCCCCGGCTGTTGTGGGCATTCGGGAGGTGAACCGTGAATGGCAGCTCACTCTCTCTAAAAATAAAACGCAGAGAATTCCAGACTTCGTGTCATCCTTGGTGCCCAAGCACCGGGCCCTGCCTGTGGGAACAGCAGGGCCTGCGGGAAAAGGACTGACCGAGAGGCTTCCGTGGACTGGACTGCACCCCCTAAATCGTGTTGAAGCCTGGACCCAGGGCCTTGGGGGACACTAAGTTTAGATGACGTCATGGGCGTGCGGTCCCACAACAGACTTGCTGCCCCACCACTGGAAGCCACGTAGAGCCCTCGCCAGAAACAGAGCGTGTTGGCTGCCTGGTTGCACGCCTCTGGCCGCTCCGATTCCAGTGGTACCCGTCCTGGTGGTCCCCGCAGTCAGTGCAGGCAGAGGCCGCCTCACACCTCCAGAACCAGACGCTGTTGCGCAGCCTTCAGTATGGACTCGTGAGGTTGTGCAACAATGCTATAAAATGAGGAGCACTAGGGAGATCTCAACATACGCACCATCTAGCTTTGACAACCATTAAACATTTTGCCAATATCGTCTTTCTCCTTTATTAGAATATAATGGCAAATCCCAGACTCCCATGTCATTCCCCCATAGAGATGTCCAAACGCATCTGAATAAGGACTCTTTAAAACCTAGCCACCGTGTCATCCCCAACCACTTCCTGAACACCGCCTGGTCCCAGTCCACACCCGTCTACTGCACCCTGCCCACAGCACCCACTCCATGGTCCCACTTGCCAGGCGGGCTCAAGATGACCTCTCACCTTTAGTGTGCTCAGACTGGGGTCCTGCAGCCTGTGCCCTCCCCAGGAACGTGGCTCGCAGCTTCCCCAGAGTGGGAAACTCATTTCTAATTCCACCGCTCTGTGCACATGTTAGGGAATTCTTTAAAAACAAGCAAATTCACCAGCTGTGGATAACCTGGAACCCAGGGGTGAAAGCCTTGGCTCCATCAACCCCGCAGGGAGGGGCCGCTGCACTCCGCCACTTCCTGGCCTTGCAGCTCAAAGACCCCATCAGATGCACCGCTTTGAGAGGCGTGGCCAGCGTCCAATCTCCAGCTGTGGAGCGAGCGCATGGCTCAGACCTACCCCAGCATCAGCACACTTGCAGCTGCCCTGGGGGTCCTGCATATGGAAAGAAAAGACCCTAAAAGTAAGGGGCCCAGGGCTGAGCAGGCCCTGTCCCTAGGGCCTGCAGCCCAGTGCACACGCAGGGCTGGGGAGAAGCGTCTGGCCTCACGAGCCAGGCTGAGTCCCCAGTGCCCTCCCCCACAGCTCCCAGAGGCGCCAGCGGGCCTCCGGCCCTCAGCAGGGCACTGCCGTGCCACTCTGCCTGGTGCAAAGACCCCCAGGCAGGGTGCCCATGACCAGAGACTTGGGCAGATCCATGTGGTCATGAATACGAGCCACAGAGGCAGGAGACCCAACATCCAGGAGTCACTTCCTGTTCAAGAGGCTGTACAGAGGAACGGCACCCCGAGACGTGGTCCTTACACGTGCACAAGTGTCCCGAGATGCCATCCTCACATGTGTGCGACTGTCCCCGAGACACGGTCCTCACACACCCCCAACTCTCCCCGAGATGTGGCCCTCACACACATGCATGACTGTCCCCAAGACTCGGTCCTCACAGACGTGTGACTGTCCCCTGAGATGCGGTTGTCTCTCACACACACACACGGATGACAGTCCCCCAGACGTGGTCCTTACACACATGCATGACTGTCCCCCTAGACGGGGTTCTCACACACTATACAGTTTTCATACACACACACACACACACACACACACACGACTCCCCCAGACGCGGTCCTCACACACATGTGCGACTGTCCTCACTCATGGGACTGTCCTGGCCCTGTGCTGCCACACCTTGGGCGCTTCCCGACGCATGGAGCATGCTGGCCACAGGGTCGCTAATTCAGGTCTTTCCCAATCCTTCAACAAGAACGCAGTTTTCTAACCACTGCAGGTGGCAGAAGGGTCCCTGAACCAGACAGAGGAGAGCAAAGGGGGCGACACAGAGTGACAAAGAGCCGGGGAGTAAAGAAATCAGGGTGCAGGCAAGGAACAGTCGGGGCAGACTAAGTGCCTGGGCCCATCGGGAGGGCCTGCTGCATGGGGGCCCAGAGCAGAGGGTGGTCCTGTGGCCTCCCAGGGACTGGGCACCCTGGCTCTGTGTGATTCTAGCTGGATTTTCCAGGCCGAACGGAGTGGCTGCTCCCGGGAGCTCCTCCCCAGGGCCTGACATGCAGGGGCCTCCACGGGTCCCCATGCCTGTGAGTTCTCTGATGCCGAGTGAGGAAGCCGAGGTAGCGAAAGCCTTGCCCGCAGCGCTCGCACGCGTAGACCTCTTTGCCAGGTGCAGGCTCCTCCGGTGGTGGCTGAGGCTCTCCTTGGCCCCAAGGCAGGGGCAGGGTGAGAGGATGCGCCCTGGTCGCCCCGGCCGGTCTCTGCGACTACAGCGGGAAGCACACACAGACCCCGGGTGCCATTTACAGCGACCCGGCATCCCTCCTACCCCTAGGCCAGAGCACACGGCCCTGCCTGCGTGGGTGTGGGTCTCAATTCCTTGGTTTCCCACTCGGAGGTTTGAGCTTGCTGATGGCGCCACAGGGCTCAGGGAGGAGCAGAATGAGACGTGGCTTTATTCCGGCGCGGTGTGCTGAGAGCCGTGCTCGGCTTCCCCGCTCTTTCTGAAGGCCAGCATGCTCCCTCCTCTCCCTGGCTGTGGCTCCGGCAGCTTCCCTTCCTGCCCTGCCGCCTCCCACGGACAGGCCCCAGCCTCCGGGAGCTGTCGGTTTTCCTCTGCAGGGACGAGGACATCCCTTGACCACAGGAGAGCCAGTGATCAGCCCCCGTGGGCCCGCGAGAAAGTCCACGTGCAAGGAAGCGCCGGGGAAGGAGGTGGCTTCAGGGAGAGCTTTGTCCTGAGCCAGGGTAGCGCGCGGCTCCCCGGAGCTGCCGCAGAACACACCAGCGGGCCCACGCCGCCCGGGACAGGGGCTGGCGGGAACCCTGCGGTGCCAGGGCGCATGCGCGGCCACCGCCAGCTTGCCGCCCATGGGCGCCAGGTCCTTGGAGTGCCTCGAGTTCGGCCAGGCCTTCAGGTGGGCGTCAAACCTGCTGCGCCACCAGAGGGGTCACACCCACGAGAGGCCCTTCAGCTGTGAGCTGTGTGGCCAGGCCTTCGGCCTCAAGGACCGCCTGGCCCAGCACGGCAAGGTGCACATGGAGCACAGGCCCTACGCCTGCAGTGACTGTGGGAAGGCCTTCGAGCAGAAGTGGAACCTTCGCAGAGAGCAGCCAGCGCGCACCGGGGAGAGGCCTGTCCTCACCTGGAGGAAGCCTCACACCTGCAACCTCACCTGGGGCCCCAAGGTGGCTAGCAGGGGCAGGGGCAGGCACCCGCCCACAAGGAGCTCGACAGGACAGTGCCCGGCCACAGAGCACAGCTTCCCGCGTCACCCCGCGGCAGGCCTCGGAGCGGGGCTGCCAGCCGTGTGTCTCTCTCTAATTCATGGGCCATTTGCTGTCCACTCTCCCTCTGCGGGGGAGGAGGGAAACCCATGGCTCATTCCACTGTTCCAGGGAAGAGAGGAGGGCTGGTTTGCAGCCACAAAACCCTTCTCAAAGAAAGAAAAAGCATTGTGTTTGCATAGAGCCAAAGCGAAGGTCGGAGCTCAGACCAGCAGCTTGGGGTCAGCATAAAGTAGACCAGTGGCCAGGCCAGCCCTCAGGGTATCCCTGAAGAAGCTGCCACAGAGAGGCCAACGAGGGGTCTGGATGCTGTCCACCTGCCGGTGCCATGTCCACCGAGGGCCTGGCAGGGTCTGGGAGGGAAGATGGAGCTGCCCCCGGGCCGGACTCCCAGCTCCCGAGCCCCTCCGCTGGGCTCAGAGGGCTCCAGAGGCTGGCGTGCAGCCTTTACCTGGCACAGCCGAGCCTGAAGGGATCTAGCATCACGTCCCGGCGGAGAGCCCTCTGGCCAGGATCCGGACACTCCCACTCTGCCCTGGAGAAGCGGACGCCACGTCCTCGAAGGTCACTGGCTCCTGGGACACAGAGAGCGCGTGGAGAACGGACACCCAAGCCTTCTCGGGGCGGGGGAGGTCTCCAAGGAGGAAACCCAAGAAACCCACGGCCACAGGACTGGGAAGCGCTTGCTCCGGGCACCACCCCAGCGTGGCTGCGGCTGCGGCTGTGGCTGCGGCTGCGGCTGCGGCTGCGGCTGCGGTTGGAGAGGGGCTGCTAATGAACCAGGATGTCCCTCCAGGAGTGGCCACAGGGCTCCCTGGGGTCCCCACACACGTGAGGCCACAGCATAAAGGTGGCAGAACAGAGAAAGCAGCTGTCAGGGGCTAAGCCACCGTCTGGCACTTTGTTCCTGAGCTCCAGCGACTAAGACAGCACCTGAGACCAGGCGCACTTTCCAGACCGCCTAACGTCTGTGCTGCTCCTCATGCAAAGCAATCCAATTTCCTTTTTTTTTTTTTTTTTTTTTTTTTTTTGCTCTGCCATATGGAAGAGAACTAGCAACAACACGGCTGGCAGAGGGTGAAGGGTCACCAGAGGACACCCCTGCTGGCCCCTGGCGTGCCTGGGCCAGGGCCTGGCTCAGTGACAGCTGATTTACCTGGGATATATCCAGAGGACAGGTGGCTGTCCTGCCTAGGGAAACGGAGGTGCTGGAGCAGCCAACCTAGGGAGGCAACGAAGAGAGAGAGGGAGCAGCCAGACTGAGCAGCCCCCCTGGCCCAGGAGCCCCCACCTACCCAGTGAAGAGACGCAGCTACACACACGTGTACACACACACACACACACACACACGTGGGTTGGCTCCAAACCACCAAGTCACCAGATGATTGGGTGGAAGTCCAGAGGTGGTGGGGAGGGGCTAGTATCACTCCCAGTAAATGGGGACAGCCGAGTGCCGTGTAAATGGGGACAGCCGAGTGCCGTGTACAACACCTGTCCCTGGGGCTGGCTCTGTGGCGGAGCTGGTAAAGCCGCCACCTGCAGTGCCAGCATCCCATATGGGCACTGGTTCGAGTTCTGGCTGCTCCACTTCTGATCCAGCTCTCTGCTGTGGCCTGGGAAGGCAGGGAGGATGGCCTAAGTCCTTGGGCCCCTGTGTCCATGTGGGAGACCTAGAAGAAGCTCCTGGCTCCTGGCTTCAGATAGGTGCAGCTCCAGCCGTTGCAGCAATTTGGGGAGTGAACCAGCAGATAGAAGACCTCTCTCTCTCTCTCTGCCTCTCTTTCTGTGTGTGTAACTCCTTGGGCTCCTGCATCTGTGTGGGAGACCCAGAAGAAGCTCCTGGCTCCTGGCTTCGGATCAGCTCAGCTCTGGCCATTGTGGTCATTTAGGGAGTGAACCAGCAGGTGGAAGGCCTCTCTCTCTCTGTCTCTACCTCTCTCTGTAACTCTTCCAAATAAATAAAATAAATCTTAAAAAAAAAATAGGGAATGCAGTAAAGAGTGTAATATGGGAGAATACTGTGATACACTGCATTTTAATAAGATCAGAGGCAGGCCTTGCAACGACCCTGCCTGGGACACCCCAATTCCACACCACAGTGCCTGAGGGTGAGTCCCTCGTCAGCTGCCTGCTGGGGTGTGCATCCCCGGAGGCAGAGGACAGCTCAACATCGGCTGCCTGCACCCACCTGAGAGACCCAGAAGGCACTTCTGCCCCCAGCTCCAGCCTGGTCCAGCCCTGTGGTGGGCATTTGAGGAGTGAACTTGCAGTAGTTGGAAGTAGTCTCTCAATTGTTTAGATAAATCTCTTTTTTTAAAGATTTATTTTATTTATTTGAAAGACAGAGTTACAGAGAGAGGAGAGACAGAGAGAGAGGTCTTCCATCCGCTGTGTTGGGTTCCTGAACTAGGATCCCGACACGTCGAAATGCGCACCCCAAAGACTCAGATTCCAAACCAGTAGATGCAACACGCAAGAGGATTTATTCAACATCTGCGCAGACAGGCCTCTCGACAGCACAAAGCCATCCAAAGAAGCAGCTCCGAACAGTTGTTAACGAGCATTTTTAAAGGGAAAAACCACACAATTTACTTAATACACACAATTTACACGCTAATTGGAGGGTTTAAATGATACACACACGATTCACACACTGATTGGAGGATTTAAATGAGGGGGTTAGTGGCGGGAAAATGTTTCTGGCTATCGCAGGAGTCGCTGTAAGACTTTAGGGTGGGACATCTGCTGCTCGCCAGAAGGAGCTCTGCAACTAGGAGTTATCGCAAAGCCTCGAGGCGGGGCTCCTGCTGGAACCACATCTCAAGTGACAGCTGGTGCCTGGGGCTCTTTCTAGGAGCTAGCACACCAAGTGGGGCAAAGGGTACTTCTAAGAACTAACTCACTAAGTAGGACAAAGGTTACTTCATCTGGGACGGAGAGGAGTGGCTCTTCAGCTGGTTCACTCCCCAGTCGGCCACAATGGCCGAAGCTGTGCCCATCTGAAGCCAGGAGCCAGGAGCTTCTTCCGGGTCTCCCCCGTGGGTGCAGGGGCCCAAGGACTTGGGCCATCCTCTATTGCTTTCCCAGGCCACAGCAGGGAGCTGGATCGCCAGAGGAGCAGCAGGGATTAGAACCAGCGCCCATATGGGATGCCTGTGCTTCAGGCCAGGGTGTTAACCCACTGCACCACAGCCCTGGCCCCCAGGTAAATCATTTTTAAAATAACAAATTTTGGGGCTGGCGCTGTGGCACAGTAGGTAGACGTGCTGGCATCCCATATGGGCACCAGTTTTGAGTCCCAGCTGCTCCACTTCTGACCCAGCTCTCTGCTGTGGCCTGGGAAAGCAGTAGAAGATGGCCAAGTCCTTGGGCCCCTAAATCCGTGTGGGAGACCTGGAAGAAGCTCCTCGCTTCCAGTTTTGGATAGGCCTTGGATGGAAGACCTCTTTCACTCTCTGCCTCTGACTCTGTGCGGTGACTGTTCCTCGCCACCGTCACCGCCGGAGAATTAGGCAGGCTGCCCGCAGCTTGCCTTGACCGAGGAGGGCAAGTGCGCCACCCGCCACCCACCACTCAGCCTTCCCAAAACCTGGGGGACAATCAGGCGCGGTGTGGAGCCCAGTGAGGCAGGGTCTCACTGTATTGTAAAAGGGAGGTGTACACATAGCTGAGGTACAGAGCGGATGCGGGCAAGGGGTGGGTGATGCAATGCAAGAGGGTCTTAGCCACTCCTATTGCACCACCTTAATGATCCGTAGGCAGAAGCGCCCTGGGGCTGGGGTGTTTGCCACCAGGGATTTGAAACTTAAAGACAGGTTTTCAAATTCCTGGCAGGCTCGGGAAGCTTCCTCTAGGCCTCTCCGGATTCAGCCTCCCCCACAACTCTAACTCTGCCTTTCAAATAATAAATAAGTAAACCTTTTAAAAACAATAACATAATTTTTAAAGACCCCTTCATGGTGAGATCGAGGGCAGCAAGACAGCATGGGGGTGAGGGGGAGACAGCGACGAGCCCACCACCCGGACCTCCCCCCACCCCAGAAGGCAGCTGGGACAGGGGTAGGCAGGATGGTGGCCAAGGTGAAGAGGCTCCTGGATGGGACACTGCACAGGACACCGCCTTGGAGGGCCCGGTGCACGGGCATCGGGGAGCAGCTGAGAAGACACTGCACAACCGGCTTTTACTAAAATATTATCATTATTTTACCCGCACCACTGCCCGTTCCTGGCACTCGCGATCATACACTCCCCTTCCCTCCATCTGGCCAGATGTGACCCTACCCTGACCCGGGTCCAGGAATGTAAAGGGAGGTTTAAAGCTTTAGATAACAACCAGCCCCTACCCTGGAGTCAGCGTTGTCGTTATCAGAAGTGTCAACTTGATCTATAGCATTCCCCTAAAGCCTGCTTGGACATGATAATAAAAGCTCTGTAAGAATCGGGCTCGGGGCTTCCTCTCCTGGAGGCACTGGGAGGCCCTGCTAGCTGGCTTCAACTTCCGTCTCTGGTGGTGTGATTTTCGGGGGACCACGGACTGCGGGCATAACACAGCGAGGGGCGGCGGCTGGGCACGCCGTTCAGGGGTCCGGATCTCCCTGAGGCCGCGCAGGCGGAGGCGCGACACAGCCGTGGAGGTTGTTCCTGAACCGCGAGGGCAGCCCAGGGAGAGTCCAGCCTCGGCGGACCCACGCGGCGCGGGCAGAGGTGGGCTGGGGGCTGAAGGGCAGCGCGGCGCCAGCCGGGCACGCGGGGAGGCCGCAGCGCCAAGGGCTCTGCTTGGCTGCAGGCCGCCGGGGGACGGTGGGGCAGGGGCGCCACCTGAGGCGGGGGGCGCTCACCGGCCGCGTCCCCCGGCGTCGCAGCCGCTCCCTTTCACAAACTTGCCGACCGGAAGTCGTTCTCCAGCAGCCGGAAGCGGCTGAGCGCCCCTCGCTGGTGCACGCCCCGGCTGACCGCGCGCGGCTGTCGCGCGCTCCGGCCACCAGCGCCAGGGCGGCTTCTGGGCCGCGGGCTGCTCCCGCCGTGTCCGTTCCTCGCCCCTCGGGCAGCCCGGGGCCCCGGCGGGACCTGCCCCGGCCGGAGCGGGGGTGGGACGGCGGCGACGCTGAGCTGTGGCGCCCGGCTGTCCCGCTGCCGTGATGTCCGCGGGCTCTCCTCTCTTGCGAAGGCACGTGGTTGTGGGGGCCGCATCTGTGTGTCCGTCGAGTTCTCAGACGGCCACGTGGGCTGTTGTGACGTCACAGCACAAGGTCGCAGCGCAGGTCAAGGTGTCCATCCCGCGGTCAGCCGGAGCAGGTTCTGCTGAGCTGACCAGAAAGAGGCAGGACCGAAGGGAGGACTGGTGATCCCAGAGGCGCTGCCCTTGGGCACGGAGCGGGACAGAGCAGGGCGGGTCACCACTGCGGCGCTGCTTGGCAGGGAGGAAGCTGACAGGGAGGGACTCGGCCGAGTGGTGCGGGAGCAGGCGCCCGCCCTCCTGACCGCACGGGCCCAGAGGGACGCGGGAGCGGCTCCCCGGGCTCCTGCGGCTCCGGGGGCAGCAGGGGCCGGAGCAGCACCGCGGGCTCTACTTCCCCACCTCCCTCCATCGTGCCCCCAGGTGGAGCCGCGGTGGCCGGCAGGACCTCCAGGGCCACGCTGCGCCACCTCAGAGCCCCGCCCCTGAGACCACGCCCCTCACAGCCCCGCCCCTCGGAGCCCGGTAACTCAGAGCCCCGCCCCTCAGAGCCCGGTAACTCAGAGCCCCGCCCCTCACAGTCCGGTAACTCAGAGCCCCGCCCCTCACAGCCCCGTCCCTCACAGACCCCGCCTCACATCCCGGTCCCTCAGAGCCCCGCCCCTCAGAGCCCCTCCTCAGAGCCCCCTCCTGAGTCCAGTCCCTCACAGCCCCCTCCTCACATCCCCGTCCCTCAGAGCCCCTCCTCAGAGCCCCCTCCTCAGAGCCCCTCCTCACATCCCCGTCCCTCAGAGCCCCCTCCTCAGAGCCCCGCCATTCAGAGCCCCCTCCTCACATCCCCGCCCCTCAGAGCCCCCTCCTCACATCCCCGTCCCTCAGAGCCCCCTCCTCAGAGCCCCGCCCCTCAGAGCCCCCTCCTCAGAGCCCCGTCCCTCAAGCCCCCTCCTCAGAGCCCCTCCTCAGAGCCCCGCCCCTCAGAGACCCCTCCTCACATCCCCGTCCCTCAGAGCCCCGCCCCTCAGATCCCCCTCCTCAGAGCCCCCTCCTCACATCCCCGCCCCTCAGATCCCCCTCCTCAGAGCCCCCCTCACATCCCCGTCCCTCACATCGCCGCCCCTCAGAGCCCCTCCTCAGAGCCCCCTCCTCAGAGCCCCTTCCTCACATCCCCGCCCCTCAGAGCCCCGCTCCTCAGAGCCCCGCCCCTCAGAGCCCCTCCTCAGAGCCCCGACCCTCAGAGCCCCCTCCTCAGAGCCCCTCCTCATATCGCCGTCCCTCAGAGCCCCGCCCCTCAGAGCCCCCTCCTCAGAGCCCCCTCCTCATATCGCCGTCCCTCAGAGCCCCTCCTCACATCCCCGCCCCTCAGAGCCCCCTCCTCACATCCCCGTCCCTCAGAGCCCCTCCTCAGAGCCCCGCCCCTCAGAGCCCCCTCCTCAGATCCCCCCTCAGATCCCCCTCCTCAGAGCCCCCTCCTCACATCCCCGCCCCTCAGAGCCCCCTCCTCACATCCCCGTCCCTCACATCGCCGCCCCTCAGAGCCCCCTCCTCACATCCCCGTCCCTCACATCGCCGCCCCTCAGAGCCCCCTCCTCACATCCCCGTCCCTCACATCGCCGCCCCTCAGAGCCCCTCCTCAGAGCCCCGTCCCTCACATCCCCGCCCCTCAGAGCCCCCTCCTCACATCCCCGTCCTCACATCGCCGCCCCTCAGAGCCCCTCCTCAGAGCCCCCTCCTCAGAGCCCCTTCCTCACATCCCCGCCCCTCAGAGCCCCCTCCTCACATCCCCGCCCCTCAGAGCCCCCTCCTCACATCCCCGCCCCTCAGAGCCCCTCCTCACATCCCCGTCCCTCAGAGCCCCCTCCTCAGAGCCCCCTCCTCACATCGCCGCCCCTCAGAGCCCCTCCTCAGAGCCCCCTCCTCACATCCCCGTCCCTCACATCCCCGCCCCTCAGAGTCCCCTCCTCACATCCCCGCCCCTCAGAGCCCCCTCCTCACATCCCCGTCCCTCAGAGCCCCCTCCTCAGAGCCCCGTCCCTCAGAGCCCCCTCCTCACATCCCCGTCCCTCAGAGCCCCCTCCTCACATCCCCGCCCCTCAGAGCCCCCTCCTCAGAGCCCCCGCCCCTCAGAGCCCCCTCCTCAGAGCCCCGTCCCTCAGAGCCCCCTCCTCAGAGCCCCGTCCCTCAGAGCCCCCTCCTCACATCCCCGTCCCTCAGAGCCCCCTCCTCACATCCCCGCCCCTCAGAGCCCCCTCCTCACAGCCCCGCCCCTCAGAGCCCCCTCCTCAGAGCCCCGTCCCTCAGAGCCCCCTCCTCAGAGCCCCGCTCCTCAGAGCCCCGCCCCTCAGAGCCCCGCCCCTCAGAGCCCCGACCCTCAGAGCCCCCTCCTCAGAGCCCCTCCTCATATCGCCGTCCCTCAGAGCCCCTCCTCAGAGCCCCGCCCCTCAGAGCCCCCTCCTCAGATCCCCCCTCAGATCCCCCTCCTCAGAGCCCCCTCCTCACATCCCCGCCCCTCAGAGCCCCTCCTCACATCCCCGTCCCTCAGAGCCCCCTCCTCAGAGCCCCCTCCTCACATCGCCGCCCCTCAGAGCCCCTCCTCAGAGCCCCCTCCTCACATCCCCGTCCCTCACATCCCCGCCCCTCAGAGTCCCCTCCTCACATCCCCGCCCCTCAGAGCCCCCTCCTCACATCCCCGTCCCTCAGAGCCCCCTCCTCAGAGCCCCGTCCCTCAGAGCCCCCTCCTCACATCCCCGTCCCTCAGAGCCCCCTCCTCACATCCCCGCCCCTCAGAGCCCCCTCCTCAGAGCCCCGCCCCTCAGAGCCCCCTCCTCAGAGCCCCGTCCCTCAGAGCCCCCTCCTCAGAGCCCCGTCCCTCAGAGCCCCCTCCTCACATCCCCGTCCCTCAGAGCCCCCTCCTCAGAGCCCCGCCCCTCAGAGCCCCCTCCTCACAGCCCCGCCCCTCAGAGCCCCCTCCTCAGAGCCCCGTCCCTCAGAGCCCCCTCCTCAGAGCCCCGCTCCTCAGAGCCCCGCCCCTCAGAGCCCCGACCCTCAGAGCCCCCTCCTCAGAGCCCCTCCTCATATCGCCGTCCCTCAGAGCCCCTCCTCAGAGCCCCGCCCCTCAGAGCCCCCTCCTCAGATCCCCCCTCAGATCCCCCTCCTCAGAGCCCCCTCCTCACATCCCCGCCCCTCAGAGCCCCTCCTCACATCCCCGTCCCTCAGAGCCCCCTCCTCAGAGCCCCCTCCTCACATCGCCGCCCCTCAGAGCCCCTCCTCAGAGCCCCCTCCTCACATCCCCGTCCCTCACATCCCCGCCCCTCAGAGCCCCCTCCTCACATCCCCGTCCCTCAGAGCCCCCTCCTCAGAGCCCCGTCCCTCAGAGCCCCCTCCTCAGAGCCCCCTCCTCACATCGGCGCCCCTCAGAGCCCCTCCTCAGAGCCCCCTCCTCAGAGCCCCCTCCTCACATCCCCGTCCCTCACATCCCCGCCCCTCAGAGTCCCCTCCTCACATCCCCGCCCCTCAGAGCCCCCTCCTCACATCCCCGTCCCTCAGAGCCCCCTCCTCAGAGCCCCGCCCCTCAGAGCCCCCTCCTCAGAGCCCCGCTCCTCAGAGCCCCGCCCCTCAGAGCCCCGACCCTCAGAGCCCCCTCCTCAGAGCCCCTCCTCATATCGCCGTCCCTCAGAGCCCCTCCTCAGAGCCCCCTCCTCAGAGCCCCCTCCTCATATCGCCGTCCCTCAGAGCCCCTCCTCAGAGCCCCGCCCCTCAGAGCCCCCTCCTCAGAGCCCCCTCCTCAGATCCCCCCTCAGATCCCCCTCCTCAGAGCCCCCTCCTCACATCCCCGCCCCTCAGAGCCCCCTCCTCACATCCCCGTCCCTCACATCGCCGCCCCTCAGAGCCCCTCCTCAGAGCCCCGCCCCTCAGAGCCCCGACCCTCAGAGCCCCCTCCTCAGAGCCCCTCCTCATATCGCCGTCCCTCAGAGCCCCGCCCCTCAGAGCCCCCTCCTCAGAGCCCCCTCCTCATATCGCCGTCCCTCAGAGCCCCTCCTCAGAGCCCCGCCCCTCAGAGCCCCCTCCTCAGATCCCCCCTCAGATCCCCCTCCTCAGAGCCCCCTCCTCACATCCCCGCCCCTCAGAGCCCCCTCCTCACATCCCCGTCCCTCACATCGCCGCCCCTCAGAGCCCCTCCTCACATCCCCGTCCCTCACATCGCCGCCCCTCAGAGCCCCTCCTCAGAGCCCCCTCCTCAGAGCCCCTTCCTCACATCCCCGCCCCTCAGAGCCCCCTCCTCACATCCCCGCCCCTCAGAGCCCCCTCCTCACATCCCCGCCCCTCAGAGCCCCCTCCTCAAAGCCCCCTCCTCAGATCCCGGCCCCTCAGAGCCCCGCCCCTCAGAGCCCCCTCCTCACATCGCCGCCCCTCAGAGCCCCTCCTCAGAGCCCCCTCCTCAGAGCCCCCTCCTCACATCCCCGTCCCTCACATCCCCGCCCCTCAGAGCCCCCTCCTCACATCCCCGCCCCTCAGAGCCCCCTCCTCACATCCCCGCCCCTCAGAGCCCCCTCCTCAGAGCCCCTCCTCAGAGCCCCGACCCTCAGAGCCCCCTCCTCAGAGCCCCTCCTCATATCGCCGTCCCTCAGAGCCCCTCCTCAGAGCCCCTCCTCACAGCCCCGCCCCTCAGAGCCCCCTCCTCAGAGCCCCCTCCTCACAGCCCCGCCCCTCACAGCCCCCTCCTCAGAGCCCCGCCCCTCAGAGCCCCTCCTCAGAGCCCCTCCTCACATCCCCGCCCCTCACATCCCCGTCCCTCAGAGCCCCCTCCTCAGAGCCCCGCCCCTCAGAGCCCCCTCCTCACATCCCCGTCCCTCAGAGCCCCCTCCTCAGAGCCCCCTCCTCAGAGCCCCCTCCTCAGAGCCCCTCCTCAGAGCCCCCTCCTCATATCGCCGTCCCTCAGAGCCCCTCCTCAGAGCCCCCTCCTCACATCCCCGTCCCTCAGAGCCCCGCCCCTCAGCCCCGCCCCTCACAGCCTCACTTTCCCGCCCGCGGAGCGCTAGCGTCGCGGCCTCTCAGGCGCGCCCAGCGGCGGCTCCGAGCTCCGCGGGCCCACTTGCGGGCCTCGCGCTAACGCGGGACGGAGCGGGAGCGGCCCCCGGACGCCCTCCCGCCCAGAGCCGCCGCCCACGCGTCACCACTCCTCCCCGCAAGGGAGCAGTGAACGGCAACAGTCTGAGGGCCGGACGTGGGGGCAGCGGCGCAGCGGTCATCGCCGTTCCGTGGGGCCAGCCGGGCGACAGTGCGCGCGGCACCGCTTCCTCACGATTTGGGACTGCGCTGCCTCACGTGGGAGCGGAGCTGACCCGATGCGGCGGTGACTGCATGCGTGACTGACGTCTGGCCGTTGCATTCCTTTGGCCTCTCTCTCTGCGCACGTGGCCGTCAACTAGAGGGCTCTGGTTTCGCCGGGAGACTAACCGCACGAGAAACCGCAAGGCCCGCAGTCACGGGTGGGGCCCCTGCCCACTCAGCATCTGCCTGCCTGACACAGCGCCACGTGCCCGCCCTCCCCACGCGCCTCCCCGATGCTGGTGCGGGCCCAGGGGCGGTCGAAGCCTGTGTCCACTCCGACCCCTCGCCGAGGCCCCAGGCGCTGGGTGCTGGGCGCCAACACCTGCAGCAGGGCGTGCCCTGACTCAGGCCTGGGCCGGCTGCGCTTCCTGAGGCGGATGCACGTGGGGACCCCGTGGCGCGGGGTGGCCATGTGCTTCGCGTGGGAGCATCTGGACATGGGTCTGGAGCCGACACCTGCAGCTGCATGGGAAGGAGGGGCGAGGGGCACGGAGCACGCCCCTCTGCTGCGCGGGCGAGCACCTGCGAGGCGGCCGCAACCCGAGGTGCCCCGCGCTGCTTGCTGGCAGCTGCTCCTACCCTGCCCTGACGGTGCTCGCGGCTAGGGACGCAGCTTGGAAGAAGTCTGCCTTGTGGTGGTCCTGGCAAGATGAAGACGGTGGCAAGGGGGCCTTAGGAACCAGGCACCCTTTGTTGGAAGACACGAACCCGGGGAGGGAGAGATGGAAGGGAAGAGACTGGCTCCCTCGGCGCGGCGTCCCGTGGCTCTCGACAGCTCCCTCACCCACTGTGGCTCCTCCTGGGGTGCACAGCCCGAGTGGCACCTACCTACTGAGTGTGCACCACCCACAGTTCCTGGACCCCATTTTCCCTCCCTAGCTCAGCCTCTTCTCTCCCAACCTGGGCTGCCCTTTCAGCTGCAGCAAAGGGGTCCCCGGCGTGGAGTCGGCAGGAACAGGTGGAAAAAGTGCCCTCCTGAGTTGGCGGTGGCCAGAGGGGGTGAGCAGCAAGATGACCACTCCCCTAACACACGTGTCCATCTTTCCTTAGGGACTCCACCCCCTGTGTGTGCTGCCCTGGCGTGTCCCCTCCAGGCAAGTCAGGGCCCACTCCTTGACCGATTCCGATACACTCAGGAGTTGACATCCACTGACTAGGCTCTCCAGGACCCAAGTGTGAGCAGGTAACACAAGCCAGCACCAGGGGAAAGCTGGCCAAGGTTGGACACTGTCCTGAGGGGAAATTAAAGATGCTGCTCAACAGTTCAAGGGAAAAACCTGCTCCAGGTCAGGCAGCACAGAGTAAGGTTGACTGGGGAAGAATGAACTAGAATTGGCCAAATTCTCCCTGAACAAAGCTGCCCCAGTGGGGGAGGGTCAGCCCCTGCCAGCCTCACCCCCAGACACTCAGAGAGCTGCAGTTAATGAGGCAGTCAGAGTCCCTGCATTGGAGGAAATTCAGTTCTGGCTTAGGAGACAAAAGCTGGTAAGTTATACAAAAAACAAAGACGACGTCGTGCAGAATGAGCTATGAGGAGCAGAGTCTGGGGCTCCTGCCTCAGGGGGGCCTTCTAGTGTGGGTAGACAGAGACAGGGCAGTCCAGGAACACTGGGTGGGCAGTGCCAGGCGCAGCAGGGTCGACGAGAACTGCAGACAGCTTGCTCAGCAAGGGCAGGAGAAACACGCTTGATGATGATAGGATTCACACACGTCATGTCACTTAACATTCACCACCCCCTGTAGGATAAGACGTGTGTGTGTGTGCATGTGTATTTACTTACTTGAAAGGCAGACCTCTTCCACCTGCAGGTTCACTCCCCAAATGGCCACAACAGCCAGGGCTGGGCCAGGAGTCAGGAACTGCACCTGGATCTGCCATGGGTGCAGGGACCAAGCACTTGGGCCACCTTCTGCTGCCCTTCCAGGGGCATTAGCAGGGAACTGGATTGGAAGCAGAGCAGCTGGGATTCAAACCAGCCGTCTGCTATGGGATGCCAGGCCCGAGAGCAGGGTCTTAACCTGCTGTCCCATAACGCCAGGCATAGACACGAGATTTATGTTCATTCTTCCTCAGATGAAGCATCTGAGGTCCAGACGCCCAAGATCATAAATTCCAGCGAATAATGTAGCTGAGCCAGCTCCCCCCTCCCCTGCCAAAGAAAGCATTGGGCATACTCAACAAGAAACCAAATGAAAGAGAGACTGGAGACTGTCCAGTCCACTTGGATCTGGTTGCCTTGTCATGGAGATTTTCAGAAGTGTTGGGAGAAGCCACACGTTGAGCTGTGAGTAGGAAATGAGATTGGAGCTAGAGTGTACAGGTGACAATTTTAAAAAACAAGGTTGATGACAGCAAGGCATCAACGGCCCACTACAAGTGGCAAGAGTCACCCTCAGCACAGGAGTGGATGGAGAGGTGGACTTGGTCCCACAGAAGTTTCCTTTAGAACCGGGCACTGTGGGGATGACTAGGGAGCACTTCCCCGTGAATCCAAAATCCTTTTGCTGGGCAGCTAGCAAGTGGATTTCTCTACCACTGGGTAGTTGATTTTTGTTAAGATTTATTTATTTATTTGGAGGGTAGAGTTAGAGAGATCTTCTATCTGCTAGTTCACTCTCTGAATGGCTGCAATGGCCAGAGCTGGGCTGATCCAAACCCAGGAGCATCATCCAGGTCTCCCATGTGGGTGCAGGGGCCCAAGCATTGGGCCATCCTTTGCTGCTTTCCCAGACCATAGCATAGAGCTGGATCGGAAATGGAGGAGCCGGGACTCAAACCGGTGCCCATATGGGATGTCAGTTCCAAGGAAAACCTCAATGTGCTCATCAGAGGACTCACTGAGAGGCCTTACGAATGTGAAGGAAGATGAGAACTCGTGCCATTAGAATGCCTTCTGTAAACCTTTCTGACCTCAGAGAAACCGTACTGGACAAAACACATTTGACGTAGTGACTGTGGGAAATTTTTTGCTAAAGTCCAGACACTATACAGCACAAGAGAATTCACACCTGAGACCCTACGTGTATAATGAATGTGGAAAAGCCATTAATTCTACTTCAGTCATTCCAAAGTATATGAGAATTCACACTGCAGAAAAACCCCACGCACATGCTGGAGAGCGCCTTCACCAGCACTGGGGACACACGGCAGGGTCCTGAGCATAATAAGCGAAAGCCACCCCTCAATTAGCAACCACACCTCCGTGAACACAGAATTCCACGAGAGAAACCCTCTGCATGTGACATGGGAAAGCCATCAGGTAAGCTCTGGCCATCTCATTGTGAGAGGATTCGTGTGCATGGAAGCACTCAGGCCGTCTTCTGCTGCTTTCCCAGGTGCATTAGCAGGGAGCCGGATTGGAAGCAGAGCAGCTGGGACCCAAACTGTTATTCTGACACGGGATCCTGGCGTCGAAGGTAGTCGCTTAACCCTGTGTGGCACAACACCAGCCCCAAGCAGAAATTTTAAATTCTGGCTATTACCCGTAATTAAAAAAAAAAAAAACTTTCCACAAAGGAACCCCAGGATTTCACTAGCGAAATGGATCAAACAGGAAGAAATAAAAAACTTCAGGACATACATGTGGATAAAATAATTCATGACTCTTGACAGCAACATTACCCAGATAACAAAACAAAACCAAAGCAGTATGTACTGAAAACCCTACAAGAGGCCGTGCTTAGTACAGTAAGCAAGAAAAAGGAACAAAGTCCATATGAACTGACAAAGAAGAAATAAAGTTCTGATTGGCAGATGACATGATCATCTATGTAAACATGGTAAAGAATATAGGAAGGAGCTACTGACACTGCTGGACACCGGGTCACCACAGAAGTGCATTTCTATACCAGCAATAATAGTTGGAAATAGCTTTTTAAAAAACCTGTATCCGCCGGTGCCGCGGCTCACTAGGCTAATCCTCCACCTTGCAGCGCTGGCACACCAGGTTCTAGTCCTGGTCGCGGTGCCGGAATCTGTCCCGGTTGCCCCTCTTCCAGGCCAGCTCTCTGCTGTGGCCCGGGAGTGCAGTGGAGGATGGCCCAAGTGCTTGGGCCCTGCACTCCATGGGAGACCAGGAGAAGTACCTGGCTCCTTCCATCGGATCAGCACGGTGCGCCGGCTGCAGTGCGCCGACCGCGGTGTACATTGGAGGGTGAAACAACGGCAAAGGAAGACCTTTCTCTCTGTCTCTCTCTCTCACTGTCCACTCTGCCTGTCAAAAAAAAAAAAAAAAAAAAAAAAAAAAAAAAACAACTGTATCATTTGCAACAGCTTTTTAAGATGAAACAAAATTTTTTTAAGATGTATTTACAGGGCTGGTGTTGTGGCATAGCAGGTAAAGCCACTGCCTACAACACTGGCATCCCATATGGACGCTGGTTCAGTTCGAGTCTTGGCTGTTCCTGGCCTCCTCCTCCCTTTTTTTTTTTTTTTTTTTTTTAATAAAGAGGAGAGCTACACAGAGGGTGGGCGAGACAGATTTTTTTTAAAAATATTTACGTATTTGAAAGAGAGAGTCAGTCTTCCATCCGCTGGTTCACTCCCCAAATGGCTGCAATGGGCAGAGCTGGGCCAATGCAAAGCCAGGAGCCAGAGATGCTCCTGGGGGGTGCCGAGGCCCAAGGATTTGGGCTACCTTCTATTGCTTTCCTAGGCCATAGCAGACAGCTGAGTTGGAAGTAGAGCAGCCAGGACTCGAACCAGTGGCCATATGGGACGCTGGTACCACAGGCAGCAGCTTTACCTGCTACGCCACAGTGCTGGCCCCACAGACATCTTTCCATACTTTGGTTTGTTCCCCAAATACTCGCAGTGGCCAAAGCTGGAACAGGCTAAAGCCAGGAACCAGGAGCTTCACTGGGTCTCCCATGTGGGTGGCAGGGGCCCAAACACTTGAACCATCTTCTGCTGCTTTCCCAGGCCATTAGCAGGGACTTGGATCAGAAGCAGAGCATCCAGGACTGGAACTGGTGCCCATATGGGCTACTGACACTACAGGTGGTGTCTTAATCCACTATGCCACATTGCTGGTCCCAGAAATGAAATATCTAACAAGAGACAGACCTGTACACTGAAGAAAATGGAGTAGAATTAGACAAATCAAATAATATACCAAGTTCAAGAACAGTAAAACTTGGAATTGCTAAAATGTCAATTGTCCCTAAATCGGTTTATAAATCCCAGGAGGTTTTCTTGGGTAGACATTGACAACTTGACACAAAAACTCAACATAGAAATGCAAAGGAACTAGAATAGTTCTTAAAAAAAAGAAAAAATTGAAGCACTCTGACTTCAGTACTCATAAAACTACAATAATCAACATAGGTTCATAGTGTGGTAAAGATTACATATAGAACAGATACGGTCCATCATGACCACTCATATGGCCAGAACTTGAGGTTTACTCTTCGGGAAAGCATGGTCCTTCAAGGAATGGTATTGAAACAGTCAGTCATTCACATGGATAGAAAATGCATGTGGTGGAGTCGGCTGGACATGGCTGCTGCCATTCTGGACTTAAACACCGTCTTGCCCTTTAGGTAACCCTGGCGGTTACCCCTAGCCCTACAGTAAGCACAGTAAGCACTGTCCATTTGGTGCCCGAGCTGTAAACTTTAAAACATCCAGGTGCATTCTATCAGCCACAGGCCACCTGTCCGTGAAATCCTTTGTCTCCTGCAACCCTTGTTTTGTGGTGACCCCAGACCATGCCTCTGCGAACACCTCAGTGAACATTCCATGTAACCTTGGATTTGTCCCCTTACTTTATTCCTGAGCCCCTTCTGCCTTTGGCACTTGGTTCTTGTATCCCAAGTTTTTCTGAAACACTTTTTAAAAATTTTATTTATTTATTTGAGAGGTAGATTTATATATATAGAGAGAGAGGTCTTCCATCCGCTGGTTCACTCCCCAAACGGCTGCAACAGCCAGAGCTGGGCCAATCTGAAGCCAGGAGCTTCCTCTGGGTCTCCCATGTGGGTGCAGGGGCCCCAGGACTTGAGCCATCTTCTACTGCTTTCCCAGGCCACAGCAGGGAACTGGATCAGCAGAGGAGCAGCCAGGACTAGAATCAGCACCTATATAGGATGCCAGCTCTGCAGGCAGAGGCTTAGCTCACTACACCACAGCTTGGGCCCATTTCTGAAAAAGTTGACCCTCATAGCAACTCATACTCTTACTTAAAACAGGTCAGAGGCCGGCGCTGTGGCTAATCCTCTGCCTGCGGCACTGGCACACTGGGTTCCAGTCCCAGTCAGGGCGCCGGATTCTGTCCCGGTTGCCCCTCTTCCAGTCCAGCTCTCTGCTGTGGCCCGGGAGTGCAGTGGAGGATGGCCCATGTCCTTGGGTCCTGCACCCGCATGGGAGACCAGGAGGAAGCACCTGGCTCCTGGCTTCGGATTGGCACAGTGCGCCAGCCATAGTGGCCACTTGGGGGTGAACCAACAGAAAAAGACCTTTCTATTAAAAACAAACAAACAAACAAACAAAACGGTCAGAGACCTCCATATGAAAGCTAGTATTCTAAAAAGTCCAGACCAAAAACATGAGAGTAAATATTATCTTCTGAGAAGGGAAATGTTTCTTAGAACCAAAAGCCATTATAAAAAGTCTTTGATAAATTGGACCTAATCAGAATTAGTTTGTTCTAATTTGTGCTGTGGTGTAGTGGGTAAAGCTGCCACCTCCAATGCTGGCATCCCATATGGGCACCAGTTCAAGTCTCAGCTGCTCCACTTCAGTCCAGCTCCTGGCTGGTGCACCTGGGAAGGCAGTGGGAGGACAGCCCAAGAGCTTGGGTCCCTGCACCCACATGAGAGACCTGGAGGAAGCTCCTGGCTTCGACCTGGCCCAGCTCCGGCTGTTGAGGCCATTTGGGGAGTGAACCAGTGAATGAAGATGTCTCTATTTCTCCCTCTCCCAGTCTCGTAACTCTTTCAAATAAATACCCTAAAAAATTGTTTAAAACTGATCTTCAAGATACTCCTAATAAAATGAAAGGCAAACTAAAGGCTAAAAGGAAATAATGATAACATAGATTTGGAATTTTTCATCTAGAACATGGAAAGGACTCTTTCAAGTCAGTCAGAAGCAGCCCACTCAATAGGGGCAGAAGCAAAAAGACACACCACAGAACACACTGAACAGCAGCAGGCAGAGGGGTCCAGCAGCATCATTTGCACGCAAACACAAAGCAACATCATGGACTAGCATGACTTAAACGTTAAGAATGACAACACCAAGTGCTGGGAAGGATGCGGAGCAACTGGAACACTCATCTACTGGGGCAGGGGTGTTAAACAGGATGCCCACTATGCAGAGCTGCGTGGCAATTTCTTATTAGGGTGGGCTGTGCACAGCAGGCTCAGCGGCCAACTGGATGCCTGTACACCGTATCAGAGTGCCAGGTCCTGACTACTCGGCTTCCATCCAGCTTCCTGCTAATGCACCTGGGAAGACAGTGGTTGATGGCCAAAGTACCCGGGTCACTGCCACCCGCATGGAAGACCTGTATGGAGGCCCAGGCTCCTGGCTTTCACCTGAGCTAGACCCAAGCTTTTAGGAAGTGAACCAAATCGAAGACCTCACTCTCATTCTGCCTTTTAAAGAAATTAAGTTTTACAAAACCAATGCACTTATTGCAATGGGCTGAGTATGTTCCCCCGAAAATTTGTATCTTTAGATCCTACTGCCCAAAGTGATGGTGTCAGGAGCTGGAGCTGTTGGAAAGTAATCAGATCACAAGGAGAGAACCTCGGTGAATGGGATGGGGGCCCCTGTGAATGAGGGCTGAGGTTTCCCAGTTGCCTTCTGCCACATGAGGTCACCGTGAGAAGACATCCCGTAGGAAGGGATGGGCCATGACCAGAAACCAAACTGGCCACCATCTTGATCTTCAGCTTCCCAGCCTTGAGAACTGTTGTTTATAGGCACCTAGTGTATGGTGTTTTGTTATGGCCGCCTGAATGGACCAGACATTTAACAGAAATCCGATAAGAAATAAAGACATGTGCAAACAGATCCCCTTACACAATGCTTACAGCTGTTTTATTCTTAGAGCCCAAACTAGAAACCCAAATTTCCACATGGGAGGACGAACAAAGGACAGCTGATCCATAAGATGCACACTACTCAGCAAGGAGAACTACTGAGTCACCAAGCCCGGCTGATTCTAAACACATGACAAAGTGCGTCAGGAGACAGAGGACGCCCTACCTGACCGCGTCAGGAGCTGCTAGAACCAAAGCTAGGACCGATGGAAGTGGTTAACGCGGCGAAAGTGACACTGACCAGGAGACGGCAGAGGGACCACCTTGATGTCAGAGCACTATTTCCTTGACTGTGTGGCAGTTGTAAGGCTGTGGCAATTTCTCCAAACTGACCACGTGAAATATGTTTGTTGATCCCTCACCACATGCAGTACCTCCAGCAGTTTCCAAGAAATGGTGTTCTGTGTGTGCTCAGTTATCTGCCCCTCCAGGTTTCTAGAGTTGTGGGAATTTATTAAGACCAGGATACGTGCTCCTGGGCAAAAAATCGATTTCTATAATTTCCAAACTGGATGTTTTGGCTGAAATTCAGACACAAATTCAGAGGCAAAGACTCACAGTTTGCTAGCTGGTTCCCCACTGTGTTAACCCGCCTGCTCTGACCACGGGGCCAGGCCACTGTTGGTGCAGATCTCCTCTCCGAGGGCTCTCTCTTCTCCAGGGGTCCCCTGGCCTCTCAGGAAGCCACCTCAGCTTGGTGACCCCTCACCTAGGAACATACTCGGATTTAAAAAGCTAACTCCCCGGCCCAGGTCTTTCTGTGCTCCCTGCTTCACTCTGAGGGACCTGAGATCAACAGCGTCTTACTGGTCAGTTTCCCCGCTGCTTGGAACCTCTCTTTACAGACACCAACACATGTTCAAGCGAATGTCACCCGGAGCCGGGAGCCGGGACAGGGCTGGAAACACTGGGAAAGACGTTACCCAGGGCGTGGGACTGCATGCCCCTTGGTGGTGAGAACGCCACAGGCCACGCAGGTCACTGCGCCCAGCCCCAGGTCTGGGCACGCGAAGGGAAGCACCCGCAGAGCCAGCAGGCCCAGCAAGCGCCGAGCTTCTGAGCTGGGGAGGAGCAGTCGGCAGAATCGGCCAACACGAAGCACAGCAGACAGAAAGGACAAAGAGGGAGAAACGCCAGTGACACGCGGGTTCGCGGTTTCTTGTTTTTGGGGGGACTTTGCCATGTGCTAGACGCTGGGGACACAGAAGCGATTGAATGTGCTCACTGTCCCCAAGGAACCGCAGATACGAGACAGCACACACAGTTCTGGCAGCAAAGCACGCCGAGCGAGCGACGAGGCGAGCAAGCATTAGCACAGAAGCCGGCTGCCGGGCCAGGCCTGAGAACACAGTGCCACACGTGGCGCCCGAGACGAACCTGAGCAGTGAGCGGGAGGACCCAGGTGGGCGCAGGGAACAGCGCGGAGCACGGGGGAATCTGATGGACAATCAGCTGAACATGTCAGGAGCAGGTCCGGGGCCTGGAGCTGAGTCCAAGGGTAACAGGACCCAACCACTGTTCCACACACGAGAGAATCCTTCTCCGACCCGACCTCCCAGGGCGCAGTCTTGCAGGCAGCACTCCTTTAAGAAGATGCATAGCTCTGGGACGGAGGGTGAACAGACACAGAAACCTTCCCTCCAGACCTTCCCGCCCCTGCCCCCACTGCCTCTCCTGAGGGTGTGTGGGGCCGAGGAGGGGAGGACCCGGGTCCCAGGTGCCGCACACTGAATGCCCACTCCAAGAGCAGCCCGGCGGGGATCTGGGACGCTTTGCACATCCAAATCTCAGAAGCCACAGGGACCCCAGCTGCACGGACTCGCAAGCATTCTCACTGCACAGGACAGTGACAGTGTCACAGGTCACCTGGGGGGTCCTCCTGGCCCACGGGCCGCTCCCCCAAACACAGCGGGGCCGTGCTCACGGGAAGGCCCTCCTGCTGGGCATCAGGACTGTGCTGGAAGCCTGGCGGTGAGTTCAAGTCCTTCTCAAACTGACGGCATTCGTAGAGCTTCTCCTCGGTGTGGACCTTCTGGTGCTGCAGGAAGTTCGACCTCTGGATGAAGCCCTTCCCGCAGTAGCTGCACACGTAGGGCTTCTCTCCGGTGTGGATGATCTGGTGCAGCAGCAGCTTGGAGCTCTGGATGAACGCCTTCCCGCAGTCCTTGCACTCGAAGGGCCTGTCCCCGGTGTGGATCTTCTGGTGCTCGGTGAGGTGGGCTTTCTGGAGAAAAGCCTTCCCACACTCTTTGCACTCGTACACCCGCTCTCCAGTGTGGATCTTCTGGTGTCGGATAAGGTAGGAGCTCAGGAAGAAGGCTTTGCCACATTCGCTGCACTCGTAGAGTTTCTCTCCAGTGTGAATCCTCTGGTGCTGGGTGAAGTTCGACGTCTGGCTGAAGCGCTTCCCACACTCGTTGCAGACGTAAGGCCTTTCCCCCGTATGAATTCTCTGGTGCTGGATAAGCTTGGAGCTCCGGATGAAGGCTTTCCCACACTCGTTGCACTCAAAGGGCCTCTCCCCAGTGTGGATCCGCTGGTGCTCGATGAGGTCCGAGCGGTGGCGGAAGGCCTTGCCGCACTCCTTGCACTCGTACTGCTTCACCTCCGTGTGGATCTGGTAATGCCGGATGAGGCTGGAGCTGCGGATGAAGGACTTCCCGCATTCGTTGCACTCGTAGGGCCTCTCCCCGGTGTGAATCCTCTGATGGCGAATAAGCAGCGAGCTCTGACTGAAGCCTTTCCCACACTCCTTGCACTCAAACGGTCTTTCCCTGGTGTGAACACGCTGGTGGCGGATCAGGTCCGAGCTGTGCCCGAAGGCTTTCCCACACTGTGCACACTTGAAGGGCTTTTCCCCGGCGTGTGCTCGCTGGTGCTCGGTGAGGTCTGCGTAGTGAGCGAAGCGGTCCCCACACAGGTGACACACGCAAGGTCTCTTCCCGGCGTGGAGCCTCTGGTGCTCTGTCAGGAGTGCACGCTGCCCAAAGCCTTTCCCACACTGATCGCACGTGTGAGGCTTCTCCCCAGTGTGAGAAGTCTGATGCCTAACAAGGTCCGAGCCAAACGTGAAGCTTTCGCCACAGACATCGCAAGGATGGGCGCCCCCGCCCACGAGCTCTGGTGGGAGTAGCAGCAGGTCGGGGTTCAGCAGAGGGCCCCGCCCTGACTCCCCACACGCTGAGGCCGGACCCCCCGTCTGGATCTTCCAATGCGTCACTGTCACCTGCTTGAATTCCTCTTCCTGAGAGGGGGAACCTGCCAGGCTCTGCCCTTCCGGGTTTCCCAAAAGCTCTCCTAACGTGACGTCAGACGCAGGGGCAGGGGGCTCCATCACCATAAGCTTGTCTGACAGCATCGCACGCAAACGTTCATCTTCAGAGACAGGCCGTGAGGTCAGCGCTGCTCACCAGCTCCTGTGCCAGATCTGAAACAAGAGGAGAGGAGACATCTTTCCCTTTGTACACGACAGGAGCTTCTCAAAAGCGCAGAGAGACACTCGTCGCAGAAGTGAGGGCGAAACGCCTGCTCCTCCCAGCCGCCCGATGGAGCCCCCACGGCGTCAGACACCAGCGCACGCCAGCCTCAAGGACACAGCAAGGATTCCACCCACAATCAAGACATCCATCTCTAAAGAAGCAAGCTATCAATACCACCTCTCCGCCATCTCTCGTTCCGTCGGGTCCTCCTCCTCCCCCCCGCAGCTCAGCACCCAGGCTGGGCCCCGCACTCATTTTAGTCAGCCCTCTGCACCTGCACATTCGACCACCTCTGGATCATTCTTCACAGGAAAAGAAAACTGTGTCTGTGCTAAGCGTGTTCTTTGTCAGGCCCCTATTCCCTACACAGTACAGTGTAACAGCTCTCTATACAGTGCCTGCATTTTTTTAAAAGATTTATTTGAAAGGCAGAGTTACAGAAAGAGGGAGAGGGAGCAAGAGGGAGAGAGAGAGAGATTGATTGATTGATTTTCCATCTACTGGGTCACTCCCCAAATGGCTGCAATGACCAGAGCTGGGCTGATCCAAAGCCAGGAGCCAGGAGTTTCTTCAGGGTCTCCCACATGAGTGCAGGAGCCCAAGTACTTGTGCCATCTTCTGCTGCTTTCCCAGGCCACAGCAGAGAGCTGGATCAGAAGTGGAGCAGCCGGGACTCAAACTGGCGACTATATGGGATGCCGGCACTGAAGGCAGCGGCTTTACCCGCTAAGCCACAGCGCCAGCCCCCAGTGTCTACGTTTTATTAGGCACTGTAAGTAACCCGAGAGTGAGACCACCGGGAGTGTGCAGACTGCATGTAAGCACTGGGGCACCCAAGGATCCGAGTATCTGGGGAGGGTCCTGGAGCCAATGCCCGCAGCTAAGGGAAGACGTTCCGTCCCTGCTGCAGGGAGGAAGGCCCTGAGGCAGGGCTGGAAAAAGAGTGGACCTTGCACGAATTCCGGAAAGTCCATGCCTCTGGAAACAACTTCAACAGACCAGTGAGAAAGAGGGGCAGTGTGGCACATAAAGTAAGGGTATGGGGAATATCAACCAACTACCGACCCCTTCCACACTCGTGGACAGAGGCAGGGACCCCTGCTGCACGCACCAGGTGAAGGATCGGCGCGTCCGACGAGGAGAAGGAGTAAGAGACCAGCCTGCGGGAGGCCGGACTCCAGCTCCGGGCCCTCCTCCGCACGGAGAGCTGTGCCGCCTGTCGCAGACAACCTCGCTTCCACTTGGCGCTCTCTCGGACTCCGTGCACTTCCATACTGAGCAACAGTTCACAGACCAGGCAGCCCCCCAGCCAGGACACAGCGGCTTGCATGGAACCCCAACTCCCTGGTCCTTTCCCTCGTCTATCTCACGTTTAGGGAACCCCGCTCCAGCCACAGGAAGCTTGCTCCCACACCTGTGTTCACCCGACTGGACTCCTTTACATGGATAACCCCTTGCCTAATCGGGCCCAGGAGCTGCCAGCACAATTTTGTAATTTGAAAGGCAGAGAAAGACAAGATCTTTCCTTTGCTGGTTCACTCCCCGAATGCCTGGAACAGCCGGGGCTTGGCCAGGCTGAAACCAGGGCACTGGAACATAATTCATGTCTCATGGGAATGGCAGGAACCCAAGTACTGGAGCCATCACTGCCGCCTCCCTGGGTATCGGCAGGCTGAAACCTGAAGGGAGCCAGGACTCAAGGCCAGGAGAGCCAACAAGGTGTGAGTGCGTCCCAAGCATCTTAACCGCTGTGCCCAAATGCCCAACACTCCACTCTCCCTCTCAGCTGATGACCTCGTCTTGACCCAGTGAGACCCAACGGCAAGAGAACCGAGTTCTTTCCACTTCTACAAGCCCACCTGATCTGTGCCATCTTCTGCCTCCCTCTCACGTGACATGACCTTGACCTAAAGTCGCTATTGCTACCTGTGCATGAGAACCCGCCCTCCATCATGAACTCACTGCCTGCCCACCACCATCCCAATCAGTGGGCAGAAACTCTAGCCCCACTCACCTTAGAAACAGCTTCCTGGGCCTGCCTTCTCCTTGTCAACTACCCCATTACTGTCCTCCGCAGGGAGACTGTCACCCAGGCTGGCTTCCTCCACCTGCTCCCTGCCGAGGCCGAGCCCCAGGCAGGTCCTCACTCCCGGCACATCCGACCACCACCAGCAGCCTCTCCACGGCCTCCGCCTCCCTCCTTGCTCAGGCTCCCTGTGGAGTCTGGGACAGTCCCCTGCTCATCCAGCCCAGGGACTGCCCCCCGCCATGTCCCCTGGCACTGCCCTGGCTGCTGTGCCCCAGGGCTCAGACCTCAGACCTCTCCTACACTCACCGAGACAACCACACCCATTGTTTTTGTTTGTTTTACAATTTTATTTATTTATTTGAGAGGTAGATTTACAGAGGGAGAGACAGAAAGAGGTATTCCATCTGCTGGTTCACTCCCCAAATGGCTGCAACGGCCAGAGCTGAGCCGATCTGAAGCCAGGAGCCAGGAGCCTCCTCCGGGTCTCCCATGTGGGTGCAGGGGCCCAAGGTCTTGGGCCACCTTCCACTGCTTTCCTAGGCCACAGCAGAGAGCTGGCTCACAAAAGGAACAGCTGGGATTCGAACTGGTGCCCATGACCAACATCCATATGGGATGCTGGTGCCACAGGTGGAGGCTTAGCCCATGAAGCCACAGCACCAGCCCAAAGCTCACCCATTTTATTTCGTTAAGATTCACTTTCAGGGCCAACGCACAGCAGGTTAAGCCACTGCTAGTGATGTCAGCATTCCACACTGGGCACCAGTTCCAGTCCTGGCTGCTCCACTTTCAATCCAGCTTCCTGCTGGGTGCCTGGGAAGCCGCAGCAGATGGCCCCAGAACTTGGCCCCTTCCACCCATGTGGGGGACCTAGAGTTCCTGGCTCCTAGCTTTGGCCTGGTCCAGCCCTGGTCATTGTGGCCTTTGGGGAGTGACCCAAACTGGGGAGATGGAAGATCTGTCTGTCCCTCTCTCTTTTTTCTGTTACAAAATGTATTTATTTTCAGCCAGATAAAACTCTCCAACAGCACATGTGGTTACATATTATAAGGCCTGCCTCTGATGCGGGCCCCATTTACAAGACCTATTTCTAATTATTAACTTCTTTGTCTCTTACAACGTAACTAGATAAATGGCTAATGTATGCGTCGTCAGTCTGGTCACGGACAGGCGTGGTGTGCAGCTCACTGCTGAGTCCGCAGCACTGCGCACCTGCTGGGACAGCCCAGGTGAACAGGCAGCACAAGCCGCAGCTCACCTGCGGACGGTGCAGCTGTGGCAGGGACCCTTCGTTGAAAAACACGTTCCGTGTGCACAGAGAAGACAGCGCCACGTGCAGGCGCTTTTCACAGCAGGCAAACACCACTCGGGCAAATGCACGGAATCTTGAAAGCAAGCAAGCTTCAGGAACGCGAATCCACCGTTCACACTATCGGGGACTGTGCCACCTGTCCCTGGACACTCGATAAACATCGATTCACTGAGAGCCAGGACATGAAAGTGCCGCCAGAGCAGTTGTGACGCTTCAGAGAAAACCACGTCACCTGGAAAGCCATGCGTGGCCTTCGAGTGGCCTTGCAATTCAAGAGCGATGCGCAACTTCGCAGACGGCAGGCAGCAGCGGGTCTCAGCCTGAAGAGCAGAGTGGTCCACAGAAATCTTGATTTGTCTTTTAAAGTAAAATAAAATCCTGCTTTCTCAGAATTCCTGGGACCTAACGGATCTCTCTCCCTCTGTCTCCTGTTAACATCCCGAAAAAGCCAGGGAACCTCCCAGGCTGAGCAGTGTCAATGCAGCACCATGGCTCCGTCTGGACTTGAACTGGGCGCTGTCTTGAAGCTCCGCCCTTGAGAGTTCTCTGCGTGCTCCTCGGCGGTGCGGTTGCTGGTTTGAGGGCTGAGGCTGCAGAAGTCCCTGCTGGGTCTCCCGCCACCCGACTCCCCGCGAGCCTCCGGCTGCAGTTCTGCAGATGGGCAGGAAGTTTCTGAACGCGTCCTGGTTAATCATCGGGAGATGCTCCTCCTTTATGAAGTCAGGTGTGGTGGAATGAGAAGGTGAGAAGGTCATGCCAAGATGGCCGCTGACAACAGGCCGTGACTGTATGGCTTCGGAAACCACATGACAACGGAGCCTGACTGGCAACAGGCTGGGATTGGATGGCTTTGGAAACTGCCTGAGAACAGGCTGTGATTGGTTAGGGCATAGACCGCCCCTTGACTGGATTGGCTGCCTTGGCTATATAAGCTGCTGTAGCAACTGAAATACACGAGTCTGCGGGCTGCTCGCCTCAGGCCTGCCCCCCCCCCACCCCCGACTCCCGGGGTCTGTGTGGTAACACCGCACCTCTTGCCCCCACCACGCTCCTCCTCTCAGAATGAATCCACAGCAACATCTGGTGCGCCAATGTGACAGAGAGAGACAGTGTGTCGGACTCAGCAAGGTCCCCCCTGGATTTCGGCAAGAGGGCCCCTCAGTGTTCTGTGTGCTGTTCGGTTCTGTGAGGGTGAGCACAGAACCCCTCCTACGCCCCTTTCCTTGTCCTCAGTCTAAGCAACCCCAGGTTAGGCACACACCGCCCAGAAGTGCACGCCGCTTCTCGGCTCCTCCTTTTACTTCCAGTTCGCTCAGCGAATTCACAGAAGGGACTGATCATCCCAGAATTCGGAACCAAGTCATCTTCCCTCACTGAGAGAGGTGACGCTCCGGAGACACCGTGTGGGCCTACGGCCTTGACCTAATGAATCAGGGAAGTCCCCCACTAAGCACAGGACATACGTACGACCTGATACACCACTATCTGTTTGTCTAAGGTAGGGGACCCCTGCAGAATGCCATCAACACCAGAGGTGCTAGGAATTTGCTTTGTTATGGCAGCAGTGCTGTGCGTCTTTCCTTTGGCTAGAGTTGGCGTGGTGCGCCG